AAAAAATAGGGAAAAAATCCGTTAAATTAAAATTTTTTTTACCTAATAACGAAATGCATCAATATGATTATATATATATATATATATATTCTTATTTATTATATTCACTACTTATTTTAATTATTTCATTTTTTTTTCTTACCAAATCTAATTATTTTTTCTCTTCTCATATATTCACCCTTATTTGAAATTATTTTCATCACTTAAATTTTACATTTTATCTCGTTTAAAGTAATTTCCTCACCATAAATAATATTAAGTTAATCATATATTTCAAATTTCTTTTTATCTTTTAATCGTACTTAAATTATTTTCATTTAATAATGAAATGGTAATCTTATTTAAATTGATTTCTTTAATTAAAAATTCATAATATTAAAATAGTCCAAAATGATTGTTTCCCATCCAATGATTGAGCCAAGCAATTCTTGGCTGATTATGAAAGTATGTATGCATAATAATTGTAATTATGATATTCAAATAATATACCTGTAGGAAAAACATGCTATTCATTATTTCTTTGAATAATGTAGGAATAAAAAAAAAAAAAATGCCAAAAGACTGTGAAATTTTTTAAGAATATAGCTAAAAATTGTGCCATTTTCGAGTGAAATTAAATTTTTTAATCAATTGTAACTTTTTATTTCATCAACCAATTCCAATTACAATTTAAGTGAAATATATAAGAAATATTAAATACCAATTCAAAAATATATAATACTTAAAATTCAGCTTAAAACTAATTAATCAGTATTAAATTACTCAATTTCTTTTTGCAATAAAATTATATATTATATCGTAATAAAATTATATCAGCTGCATTGTTAGACTAATATTCATGTTAAGAAGTAAATATTAGAAAAAAATGAAATTATTGTTTAAGCAATTTATTTAAAAACTTTTTTTTTTTCTAAAATCATTGTATCATTTTTGCCGATGAATGAATCCTTTGATAATCATTTATTTGAATAATTATCCATTAAATACGATAATTAATGCAAAGCTATTAGTTATATTAGTTTAAATCAAATTTGTTAAATATGTTAAATTTTTTTAGTGATATTTTCAAATTTTTTTTTAGTACCAAATAAATTCTGATAAAAAAAAAATCATCATACATTTTATCATTCGAATATTTTATTAATTCAAATTTAATCTTAATTTTTTTTTAATTAAATTATTTTTAATATTCATCTGAAATATTAACCATCGATATAGATTGCATAATTTTTCGCATCACCATCCATTAAATATTGTAGTATTTCTATCATTTTCATTGATCAAATTTTAAAATTATCAAAATTGCTCAATGTGACAAATTGTGCGACA